GATGAATTGTTTTAATTTGTAGACTAGTATGTGGCTGGGGGCAGATTTTTGTTGTTGATAATGCGTGCCAAAATTAAACAACATGGTGAGTTTAAGATATTTCAAATGCTTAAATTGCTGTCCTTCTGTGCTATAGGTGACTCCGAAATAAAGTTTTCAATAGAAGATAGTTAAAAAACTTTCTCCTCATTTTTGCAACTGGTTTAGTTAGTCATTTGTACTTAATTCCTTTTTGGGGCTGAAGTCACTTCAATTACATCTGGCTTTTGAATCCTTCTAGCACAACTTCTGAAGCATAATACAAGAATAAGGAAAAAAGGGGCAGACCTTGGTGAACTGCAGAGTGCCATTGAATCTATAAAGGAAACGCAAGAAGACATTAAGAGGTAGTACTAATCAAAATGCTTTAAAATTGTTTAGAGAATAGTAATTCCATAGCTGGGGTTTTTTTCCCTTTCTGCTTTAGAGCCTTGCTGTCTTTATTCTTCTTCACAAATATTGATTGCTCATTGATATTTCATCATTTTCCCCAAAAGCTGCCTTCTGTAGGGAGCCTTAACATAGTAGAAAATTGTCTAGTTTGTAATTTACAGGATATTGTTTTCTATCTTACAGGGACATTATGGCTCTACGAAATAGAGTCTCTTCCAATTCACCACCTGCGGACTACCATTTCCTGCAGTTTAAGCACTATGTCTTCATTTTACTCTTGGTTCTACTACAGCTTATCATTAATTTCTTGTTCAAATAGGAAGTGTGAACAAGGGCCTTCTCAAACTGGAATGATCAAACTCTTACTGGGGACCATATTTTAAGCTGGACTTTAAACGATGCAATATTATCTAGAAGAACCATGTAGCAACAACTCACAGAACTTTGCCTCAGCGTTCATGGTTCAGAATCATACTCCTGTCTATCCAGTTGAAGTAAGAATTGTGTAAGTGCCAGTACACTCTTGCTCCTGGTGTGTGCCTCTGTCTCGTAGTCATACGACATCAGCCTTGTGTTTATATTACATCATACACTGTACTGATCAGTCTTCACCACAGAACAGATGAAGTTAAAAAGTCAGAGGTCAGACCCTGTAGGTAGAATGTGATTCCAATTATGGCAGAATGATAAACGAGCATACTTCATTACATATAAACTTATCATTTTTGTAACAAAGGAACTTCTGAAGTAGCCAACAGCTTTTGTAAATGGCATTGGGTGTTTGGAAGTAAGCTTTTGCTTAAGGTCAAACAAATACATTATTATACAAAAAATCATGAACATTAGGAACTGGCAAGTAAAAAGCTGAAGTCTTTAGGAAAACTGCAACATAATGTCCTTGGTTTGTTTTGGAAGTATGAGGTTTTTATCCTGAATCACTATAGGCTTGTAAACCAGCTGTTTTATAGTTTTAAAACTTCAGATTCTTCATAAAAACATTCCTTCATCTACTGTACAAAGCACGTTTTTAACAGTACAGCACCCAGGAAGGTACTGTCTTGGTCTACTCTCTCTCATGAATTGCAAATGTTAAGATTTTCTGGTATGTTTATAAGTCTTGATAAATCTACAGCTTTGAATTTACATTTGTGTACGGCCATGTCAGGGTAAGACTGCTGATGCCAGAACTCTTGCTTATTTTTGGAACAAAATGTGAAGATGAAGAGGTGTGTTCAGTGTGTAGCTTGAGCTGAACCTCCCAAGAGGTGGACAATGTAGAACAGGATTCGGGTACTGTCATGAGTTCACTTGCAAATGAAAGCATTTACAAGGGGAAGGTTCAGAAATTTTGCAGTGGCTAACACCACATACATCAAAGCAAATGAGAGGGAAACCCTGAGTACTTGTGAAATCCCTCCTCACTGCAAGTATATACTACCTGCCAGAATACATGAATGCACCTACTTAGTATGCTGTAGCCATACAAATTAATGTGAAGATTAAGTTTCAATTCAAAACCAGGGTTTCTAATGTTTTTTATTTGAAGAAATATATGCATGTGTAGAATTTGTAAAATTTCAGCAAAAAAAATTAGTACTGGTGTTTATCAGGTGAGTTCCTTGTGCCAGTCAAGTGCACCAAGTCAAGAAGGGGCTGTAGTATTGTAAAGATACTCTCAGTAGCCCAGACGAGACACCAGGAAGATGAGCGGCACAATATGAAGGGCAGGCAAGTTCATTTTTAGAAGATCCTCTCAGGAATCAAATCCATCCTGGGCAGTGGAACAGTTCAAAGGGCATGTTTGGCTTTTTGGCATGGCCAGGTTATCCCTCTGCCTTGGGCAGGCTCCTTGACTCACCAGGTGATCTGCCTTTCTGTTCTGCATCAGTCTCACTAGTATTTAGTGCAAATACTGTTTACTCTTTTATCTGTCTAACTTATATATTTCTGTGGCTGACAGCTTCACACACCTCCCCTTCTTTTTTACCTTTCCCCTTCTTTGAGCCTTAGCTATGTAAATGTTTATTGTGTAAGCAATCGACTTCAGCATACTGCTTACAGCTTCACATTAGCATGGTTTGGTCTTGAATAATTTTTCTGGAATGTGGTACCTTAAGCAGATCTTGCATCTGTGGGCAAGACCAAAGTCCCTTTGTAAACAAAAAATTACAAATGCCTAAGTCTCTAAGTGGAAACTGAAGTTGTTAGCCATGTATAAAATAGCATTAAGAAAGCAGAATATTATGGCTTTCACTTAACGTTCTCAGCCTGGAATTTGACCATTCATTATACATTCAGAAGTCAAAGCTTCACCTGTCTTAAGATCTACTCCGAGCCTTTAAACATATTCTGTACATGAGAATAATCCAGTAAGTGAGATTTGGGCCATGACTTCAATCCCCTAAAATAATACTCTGCTAAATTTGTGGTGCTGAAACTCCTGACTGATAGTTATAAGCTTCTATTTCCCTTGTAAAAAGAAATGTCCTTCTGCCTTTTCATGTTCATATTTTAATCACTTCCGTTCAAGACCAGTAGGTAACACAGTCTGTATGTATTTGTACGTGGACTGTGTGCTAGTAACTGGATTTGACCCAGCAAGCTGGCTGGCAGCTTGGTGTTGGACAAGGTCAGACTAAACAGATACTCTGTATCTGAAATTCATGCTCAGCTCAAGACAAGTAAAGCACTTGAATGGAGCGAGACAGAATCCCGATATGCTTATTTTCCCCTTCAACTTTGAGCTGAATTCTGTTGTAAAAGTGGTTTTAGTGATGATCTGAAAAGGTAAAGGATATGTGATGAAACTTTTTGAAAATTGCAGACTTCTTGACTGTATGATTAGATAAATTCTGAAAAGTAGTGAAAACCTAGTAATTCCTGTTCTGCTGGGTTTTATAGGATGTTCCCCCATTTGAATAGAACAAAGAAACTTCTTCCTGAATTTTTACAGTACAGCTGGTCACAGACATGTATGGAGCCTTTTCTTTAGTGTGTCACTATTGTCCTATTTAACCATGATGTGTAGCAGATCTTGACTCTGCTGCCTGCTTAAGACTGAGTTCTGCACATAATTATAAAAATGGATTGTACAGTTTGCAGGTGTCGGAGGGCTGTGGCCTCCTACTAGTTTTTAAGTTTAAAGCAGCACTTGTTTTCACATTTGATTTAGAAATCTTGTTTTGTTTGGGTTTCTTGTCCAGGAAATATTTTCAGAATTTGTTGCCATGTGGTTTTGTTGGGTTTGTTTTCAAATGCACTCTATGCCTTTAATTTGCCATTTAGGTACAGGTTGCCTAGTTGGGTACAGATGACCTAAGCTAAGAAAAAGTAAATATGCCATGTGAAATGCAATGGGTATCATTTTCAGCAGTGGATGATGTCTCTTGCATTCTCCTTTTAAACAGTTGACATTACATGAGAGTATATAGCCTGGTTGTTGTGTCATGTTTGGTTTGGTTTGGTGGTTGTTTGCTGCCCTCCTGTGCCTTTGGCAATTTTTTTTTTTGCTAGACTGGTGTTTATGAAACAGACTTGGGATTCAGTGTTTCCTATAGTTTCTTACAGGCTGTTACTTTTGATTATGTTTGTGTAAATAACGTATACAACAATTCTGTACATCTGTAAGTTTTAACTATTTTTATTTCAAGAGTATCCTCAAATCACAGAAAATTTAGCAGATATTCAAGTATTGTAAACAGTGCCTTCTTGATGGGTTTCTTGCTGTTCGGAGACATGTAAAGATTTGTCAAATTTGTGCCATATTGTAACATCTGATCTTTTGTGAGGGCTTTTGTGTTTGTGAACTGATTTTCCTGCTTAGTCAGACTCTGGGAGGGGAAAAAAAAACCTCTTAAAGCTCTTAAAAAATCTTTAAATTATTCCCTCTTCTTGGCTCGTGAGCCGAAAGCGGAGGATTTTTGGGTGTTTACAGTGAAGCTGCACTACTTTATAGTAATACAGAAATAGCCATAACGAAGTAAGAACTTCACGGGGAGATTATTTGGGCCTTTTCTGCTTAACTTTTTCTCCTTTCTCCCCTGGCCCGGCCTTTCCCTCTGCCAAGCGGGAAAATCAGCCCTCAGGACACAGCGCCCCCCCCGCGTGTCCCGCGCAGTCCGTCACCCGGGATCACCGCTCTCTGAGGGATCGGAATTGTAACGGGGCGGCCGAATCCGCCGCCGCCCACAATAAAGATGTGTCGCACCTCCGCTCAGCCTCTCGGCTCTGTGCGCCGGTCCCCGGGCCGGACGGATTCCTGCTCCTGCTCTCCCTGTCCCCGAGCGCACTCCCGCTCTCCCCGTCCCCCTGCCCCCTGTGCCGCCCCTCGCCCGGGCCGTGACGCGTGGGCGGAAGGGGCGGTGCGATGGCGGCGGCGATGGCGGAGCCGGTGCCGCAGCCAGGGCGGCTGTGGCAGGAGGCAGCGGCGCTGGCGGGGGCGGTGTGCGGCGCGCTGGGGCCGCGGGGCGGGCGGGCGCTGCTGCTGCGGCCCACGGGCGAGGCGGTGCCGACGCGGGACGGGCGGCGGCTGCTGGAGGCGCTGAGGCTGGAGCCGCCCGCGGCCAGGTACCGCGGCGGGGGGGCCGGGCGGGGCCAGCGGCGGCGGCTCCTTAACGCTGCCCGTGTGCCCGCAGGGTGATGACGGCCCGCGCCTGCAGCCACCGCGCCGCGACGGGGGACGGCGCCAAGAGCTTCGTGGTGCTGCTGGCGGCCGTGCTGGGCGGGCTGCGAGCGGCGGGCGGCAGCGCCGGGCTGCGGCGGGCGCTGCGGGCCTTCGAGACTCAGGTGCTGGAGCGGGCGGTGGCGCGGGGGCTGCGGCGGCACTGGCGGGCGGCGCCGCCCGGGCTCCCGGAGGCGCTGCTGGAGGCGCTGCTGGAGCCGTACCTGGCCGGCCGGCTGGGCTCCGGCGAGCGGCGGCGCCTGGCGCGGCTCTGCGCCGAGCTGTGCCGCCGCTGCGCCCCGGCAGCCGCCGCCCGCCCTGAGGCGCTGCGGGTCCTCGGGCGGCGCTTCGCGGCCCTGCACGCCGCGGTGCCCGGCCTGCCCCTGGCCAGCTCCACCGTCCTGCCCGGCATCGTTCTTAGCAGGGACTTCGCTGCTTACTGTCCGGCCGAAGGGGAGCTGCGGGCCGTGCTGGTCACCGAGCCCCTGCGGCCCGCCCTGACGGCCCCCGGCGTCGAGTTTGTTGTCGACTCCGAGGGTCAGTATCAGGCTTCCCTGCGCTGGATCACAAGGAGGACGGAAGCCTTAGTGAAACACTTGCAGAGCAACAACGTTAAGCTGTTACTGTCGAGCACGAAGCAAGACGAAGTAGTTATCTACTATGCCAAGCTATACGGTGTTTCTGTTGTAGAGTGTTTATTGTCAGAAGAAATGGCCCTAATCAGTGAAATCACCGGTGTCTCGCCTTATGCACCTTTTGGTGATAACATGTACAGGAAAATCACTGAAACTGCGGTGGCATCGTTTTGCCAGCCCTTGCTGCTAGGCTCCAAGAGGTGCGTCCACGTTGGCTTCGCCAGTGTGTGTGCCTTCCAGCCCCATTGCCTGATCCTTTGTGGGCCAGTCGATGGGGTCAATGAGCAACATGCTGCTGCTTTACAAGAGGCCTTCACAATGTTGCAGCAGCTGTTTAAAACAGTTGATCAGAAGGAGGAATGCAAAGCGAAAGGTGAAAGCCAGAACAAAGCTTCAGATGTTTGCAGTTGGCATTCTTTACCTAGTCAGAAACAAATCATAGTAGAAAATATTTCTTGTAATAGTGGCCAGGTTTCTGAATGTCAGCTGAAAGCGCTTAGTGATGAAACAGAGGCAAAAATTTTAGACTCTGATAAGAGTAGTTCACCGGTGGACAAGCAAAAGAGCTACAGCAGTGCTGTGTTAGCGGCATGTAACACTGATGGAGTGATGGCGTGTGAGCTCCTGGATGTTGGCAAAGGTCTAGAGAAAACACATTGCAGTATAGTTCCATTTAAAGAGGAAGAAAGTTGTGTAAGTATTGCACAGGATCATTCCAACTCCCTCATAGAAGCAGGATCAGTTTTGCCAGTAGGAGGTTACTTTGAAATCCTGTTACATTATTACATTCAGTACTATGCAAAACAGTGTCAGCAGTCAGAGGTAGCTGTCGTATCTAATGTGGTTGCTGATGCTTTGCTAAGTATCCCCAAGGCCTTGTACAGGACAACAGAACGAGACAGCTTTACCAAATTCTATCTCAAAGCCATTAATTCACTCCAAAAAAATCAGCCACTGCCAGGGAACAAGGAAGGCTTAGAGTCAGTGTATTGCAAATACCAGTTAGTCGTTTCAGTTCTTCATTGTGTTACAGAACTTCTCTCCATAGACTTAATAATTGGTATTAAGAGGCCAGTGCAAAAAATTGAGGACCATGACTCAGAAGATGACTTTTGAAATCATTAATAAAGAATGGTTTTGATTGTGTGTTGTTTCCTTATGTCTTCTTGTCAGATGGACATGTCTCAAAATTCAGTGCTAGAGACTAAAACGTATCTTTTTAGGCCTACAGACCTAATATGCTATTTCTTTTAGAAGAAAAGGGAAAAAAAAGGCTAGTCAGCTGAGGATAGCCTGGGACACCTTGGGAGAAGGTGTTTAGTCAGTTTACACACCACAGGGAGTGGTGTGTTTGGGCATGCACTGAGGTTGTAACAGCCTATGGGTTTTTCTTCATGCACTGTTTCCCAGAGATTATTTCTGTTTTGTTCTGTAACTCTTTCTAAGTATGGGTTGTCCTCCATGCAAAGTGAAAGTCAGGTACACATGGACACATGTTTTGACTCAGATCCAAATTCAAAATACAATGTAAAGTGCAGGCATACTGGTGTTAAAGAATGTTTTTTAAAAAAATCTTGATGTTTAATTCTCCTTTCTGCAGCCCTTGACAAACTTACATTCTGCCCCATGTGAAATTCAGCAGATTATTTAGAAGGTGCTCACTCCAACCACAAGGAGCATAGGTGCCTTCTAAGCATTGTAATCCTATTTGGCAGGTAACTGATTTACATCTACAGGCAGGTAGTTTGGATGGGGTTTTTTTTAATAAAAAAGACCCAAAAGCAGTTTTTAGAATGCATGAGTAATAATGTACAATAAGACTAGATTGAAACTGCATGCTGCATGCAGCTCTTGAGAATGGGAATGGTCTGTTTACATGGCAGGGACACACTGTTTTTGTTTGTTGATTGGTGTGGGGATCTAGTTGGAACAGACTTTTGCAGGTGCTGGGACTACACTGAGACAGCCTCCATTCCTCAGCTCTCCTCCAGCCACTGTCCCTGCTGCTGGCCGTGCCAGCTCCCTGCTCTGCACTTTCCCTGGTCCTTCTCAGTGATCTCTGGGACACCATCTCCCTGTTTACCAAATAGGCATTGCTTAGTTTCTGTAGTGAAAGTTATGCAACCTAAGTATGACCTTACATTTTCATCCGTGCTTAGCTGATTGCTGACCTTCAGCGTTTTTGGCAGCTATACAGAGAGCATCGTTAATGGGAACCAGGCACAACAAAGAATATTATCCTGTTGTGTCACAAATCTCATGCTGCTGAATCACATTTGTAAGAGGAAATAGGTAACTGCAACATTTTGTTCAGGAGCATAACTGTATAGTGGCATATTTTATATTTTTCTGTATATTTTACATGCAGAAAAATGTGTATTGTTTCTGTTGTTATCTTTATAAGTCATCTTCCAGAGCCCAAAGGTAGGGCATTAATCACACCATGTGAGAAGATTAAGGAAGATTAAATTCTTCGCTAGAATTCCACTCATCTGTTCTAAATTTGCTTTTTGTTATGTGACAAATCTGCTATTAGTGGTAGAGACTTCTGTTTTGATTTCTAAATTGTTTTTATGCTTGTTTAGGTTAATCCATCCCCTTGCATATTTTATTTTTTTTTTTAGTGAAGTTCTTTTAAATCTCATGCTAAGAGAGAAACTTTTTCAATATTCAGTTGCAAAATTCTGTTTAAATCTTGATCTTGAAATCTAAGAAACAGTGTGGTTTTGTCACTAGTAAACACAAATATTAAATACTTGCTCTGTTTACTATTGTATTTATCACATTATTGCTGTTAAGACTGAACAAATCAAGAGAGTAATGTCTGAATTTACCACAAGTTGCTTTGTAAATGCATTGGCTTTAACTAATGCAATTGTAATTTTGCAGCATGATTTTGTGCAAGGTGTCATTTATATTCTGTTAATGAGACCAGAAATAGATATTTGGACCTAAGATTATGCAAATTACTTCCCTCTGAGAGTATTAAGCTAATAATTACATCCAGGAATAGAAATTTTCATTTTTTCATTTCAAAACTAAAAATGATGATAGCAAAAATGTAATAGATGTAATATATAGTAGTTCCTTCTTTATTATATGATTCAGTAAAAGACTAAACTATGTAAGCAGTGTTTATTCCTGTGATAGATCAAGCAGTGCACTCTTTCTAAAAACAGTTCTGTCAAAAAGAATACAATATACTTTTCCATAGGAACACTATTTGTGCTAGTTCAGCAGACAGTTTGTTTCTCACAAAGTCACGAGGAGATAAAAGAACTGTTCCACTGAGGCTTTGGTTTAGTGTGGGATTAAGGGCACATCAGTAATACTGTGTCCTGCATGGCTGTGTCCTAAGCCACCTACAGCAGAAATCACATAAAAGATAAAATTTCCATTTAAGGTATTTTAAAAAAGGTATTGTTTTACCAAACAGAATCTCTAATCTGTTCTTATTTTGAGATTTCCAGTAAAATAATCCAGAATGGTGATCTTGCTTTTGATAATAATCATGACCTACTTTCAGTGGATGTCTTCATTTTGCAGGCTTAGCATCTGATTAAATATTACCTTAAAATGGGAATGCAGAGAGGGAACACGTGGTAGGGATTTCTCAGTGTATGTGGCAGAACAGACAGCTCCAGATGAGAGTAACGTCTGCTGAGATTTTAACGTTAGACTTGATACGTGTCTGGTGCCATGTATAAGGATTATATTTGTATGCCATTGCTTTTGGAACACTGAAAGTCATTGTAGAAACAGCTGGATTACATTCATAGGGCAAGTAAACTGCTTGGGAGCTGTTTCCTAAAATCAGAAATACTCTGAGGCATCTAATTACTGACGTAGTACTGAAAAAGGTACAAAACAGTTACACAGTGCTGAAAAAAAATTTAGTCTATTATCAATGTTGACTGTGCTGGAGATGTTTATTGGCATAAGCGTTTTTTAAAGTACTGGTGTTAGGAGTGTAATCCTGAGGACCAGTGCCCCACAGCAGGGCTTCTGCTGCCATTCATGTTGGGACTGGGGGTAGCTCTGCCCAGCAGCAGTTACACCTAAGAGGAGTCCTACTGTGCCTAGCCTAAGTTCACATAGCCAGAGTGTTTATGAATGAATTTTGGCATCTCAGTAAATCTTGCAAGATGTGGTGTCGGTAAGTGGAGGGGTTTTTTGGCATTTCCAAACAACCAGTGCTTATAATAGAGCAATTATCAGAAATTGCATTCCCTGTGATTTGAGACCTTTTTGTCACCTTGCAGAATTTTTTCAGTGAGACACTTTTTAAGCTTTAGCAGTTATTAGCAAGTATTATCAGCATTCTTTTGTTTTAGGACTCCCCTCTATTTCAGAAGTTCGCCTCCTGGGTTATAATCCTAAATGCTGCAGAATTTACATGGCTTGGATTTAGGAAGAGGAGCCAATTTGTAATCATGCAGAAAGCAGGAAATTTTCTCCTATTTTATTGCTTCTACTCTGCTTGACTGGGGAGCTCATGAGACAGTGTAATACAGTAATAACTGTGGGTGTGTGGGTGGAGAGGAGGGACAAAAATAAGTCAGGAGATAAGAAGACCCAGTTCAAAAGGAAGAGCAGAGAAAAGATGAAGGTTGAATGATGAATAGAACATAGAAAAGGACTGTCATGTAGAAGGAAGAATATAGTGTCAGATAGATGAATGGGAAGAAACAGCCCCAGCTTTCACACCTACCTCCGTGGGATGCAGTAGCAAAGGGAAGACATTAAGTTCTGCTCTCCCCTTGGAAGACTGGCAGAAGATGGTTGCCAAACGGAAACAAAATAAAATCCATGAAACTAATTTTCTCCTGTGCCAGTGTAGGAGAGTAGCTAAAGCATTAGGAGCCGTGGAGCAGCCTGTCTGCGTATCTCAAGGGAGTCCTGGGCTGTAAACTTGTGACAGCTCAAGATAACATTTCTGTTCCTGAAGCTCAAAGAATCTAGGAGTGGGTGAGAAATTAGTGGGTGTGGATTACATTTGTTTGGATAGCACATCTGACCCTCACTGTCCTGAGCCTCTGGAATGTGCTATGTTCCCTAGGTACCTCCAAAGTACAGGCAGGGATCATCAGCAATACAGTGCTTGGCTTCCCAGCCTCGTTGAGGAGGGTTCTGGGCTTGAGCTTGTGTGGTGCCCCGTGCCTGGGGAACACTGAGCCAGTGCATGTTACAGGTCACACGGTGAACAACACAGGGTTGTAATGGGAAGCTGCTGGGTTTACTGCTTTGAAAAGAATTGCATGAACTGTTATTGAAGTTATAAATCATCGCCTGATAAATTTGCCATCTGCTAGGCCTGAGATAATGAATCTAAATTTACTTGTGTTTGAGCATAGAAAGCCTGTCTAGGACCTTGAAGCTTATTTTTCATAGTGAATTATAACAGGAGTTCAGTGCTTTTAGCACAATTCATTATTGAATTGTAGGGAAAAATCAATTCTCCTGTGTAGCTCTGACTTCTCATAAGACTGAACAGTTTCAAGAGACACAATTATTCGAAAAATTATAGATTTCCAGCATTTCCAATACCAATCTGTTATTGACAACATCTTATTTGTTTAATAGGTAGCACTTATGACTATGAAAAAGGTATATCCCCACTGAAAATAGCATGTTTTTACCTCTGTGCATTCAGACTCCAGACCTCTAATCCAAATGTATTCAAGTGATCAGAAGATACTGAATTGACAGGCTACCAGACCAGTAAAATTAATTGCATAGTACTTTGGAGCAGATGATCATTGATACCAGATTTTTTTTTTTAATAATTGTTTTTCCTACAGAAAAAAAAATGGTTGAAATAAAATGTGTGAACAAGATCATAGATAATTTTCTTGCTATTGTGTTTAACAAATTTGAGCTGTAAGCAATTTTTCTGTGCTATCTCTAGGGTTTTGTAAATATGATTAATATCTGGTTTTAAAAGCTTCATATTGGTTCAGTAACTGCTGTAACATTTTAACTGCAAAGTTCAAATTATAATAAAAATGCAGCAAACATCTCTGAGTATCTTGGAAATTTGATACCATGAACCATTGGGGAAAACCAATGGATTTTGTCTTCCAGAGTTTTATAACAATGTGTACCTGAGGTTAGGATAGGGTTCTGAAACAGCAGCACCTACAAAC